TTTCTGCATCTTCTAATCTGTTCCACTGGTCCTCAGGTCTGTTTCTTTGCCACTACCATGCTGTTTTTATCACAGTAGCTTTGTAGTGTAGTTTCAAGTTGGGAGTGTAATACCCCCTGCCATGTCTCTATTGCTTAGAATTGCTTTTGCTATTCTGGGTTTCTTCTTGTTTCAAATGAATTTTTGGATTGTTTTCTCAAGGTCCATGAAGTATGCTGCTGGGATCTCAATTGGAATTGCATTGAATCTATGTAGCAGTTTTGGAAGTATGGACATTTTCACTATGTTGGCTCTTCCTACCCAGGAGCGAGGGATGTCTTTCATTTTCTGATATCATCTTCAGTCTCCTTTTTCAGAGTGCTATAGTTTTCAGAGTAGAAGTCTTTAATTTCTTTTGTTAGGTTGATTCCTAGATATTTCAATTTTTTGGATGCTATTGTAAAAGGAATTGTTTCCCCCATTTCTCTCTCAGTGAGTCTGTTGTTCATGTAGAGGAAAGCTATTGATTTTTGTGTGTTGACCTTGTTTTTAGCGACTTTACTGAATTTGGTTATTAAGTTTAGAAGTCTTTTGATGGAGTTCTTGGGGTCTTCTATGTAAAGTATGATGTCATCTGCAAATAATGACAGTTTGACTTCTTCATTTCCTATCTTCATTCCTTTTATTTCTCTCACTTTACAAGACTATGTTGAACAGGAGTGGTGATAGTGGACATCCTTGTCTTGTTCCTGATTTCAGTGTGAAGGATTTCAGTTTTTAACCATTTAGTATGATATTGGCCATTAGTTTTTCATAGATGGCTTTTATCAGATTGAGGTAGAGATTGTCTATTCCAATTTTTTGTAGGGTTTTTATCATAAATGCATGTTGGATTTTGTCAAATGCCTTTTCTGCATCTATGGGGATAATTATATGGTTTTTGTCCTTGGCTCTGTTGATATAGTGTATTACATTGATTGATTTGTGTCTGTTGAGCCATCCCTGCACCCCTGGGATTAATCCCACTTGGTCAGGGCATATGATCTTCTTGATCATCTTCAGCATTCTATTTGCCAGTATCTTAGTAAGGATTTTTGCATCTATGTTCATTAGTGAGATTGGCCTATAGTTCTCTTTTTCGGTTGGGTCTTT